GTGTTATCACTTCCTCTGCTACAGACCACATATGTTCATGTCTATGAGAAAGTTGGCACGGAAGCTCTCACCAGCTGACATATGACCCACTTTTCATATGAAAGTACTGCTCCAATTTAAATGTAACTTGGCGTGTTCTTCCTCAAACCTTTGATATCCAAATAGTGTATTTATACTTTTATCTAATAGGAGTCGGACACATTGCAATGTTTCAACTGCATGTTTGGGACAAACTCGTTTCTTCTTCATTGATTAGGAGAGTTACCAGAAGCACTGCTGGCATTGTCTCAAGCCCCAAGAAGATACATACAAGGATTAAAAATCAACCAGTAAAACACCACCCGCTGGAAAGGAGTTCTGTCTGAAACAGGAAGATATACTTTATTAATCTTTTTTTTTCACTCATACTTATACATGGAGAGATACACTGCCACATATGAGCGCTCCGTGAGAAATTAGGGGTCGGGTGCCTTGCTCAAGGGCACCTCAGCAGTGCACATACTGTGGTCTGTGCTGGACTTGAACCATCAACCCTCCAGTTCCCAAGCCAAGTCCCTACAGACTAAGCTACTGCTGCCCCGAAGACTCAAAGCCTGAACTGAACCCTACTTTTGAGCTTTCTAGAGCTTTCTTTATCCATTATAAACAATACTGTGTTGTTCTGTGTCCTGACTGTAGATCATGGAACATGAGAGTACTGCCTCACCACTGGCTAACCAATCAGACCCCAGCAATTCCTCCATAGCCTCAAGATCTTCGGAGTACAGTGATGCAGAGCTCGTGTTGCTGGGTGTTGCAATGGCCATTCTGGTTCTGGCTATAGTTTTTGGTAAGTTACAAAACATTTCATTATTTCAATTACTTACTCAAGGTCTGTGGTATTAACTGATTGGAAGATAAAAACTAAAATATATATTTTTTCAACATTCAGATGTCTCTTTTAGTTACATTTCTCTCTCCGCTGTTCAGGTAACGTGCTGGTGATTACGGCCATCCTGCGATTCCAGCGGCTCCAGACAGTCACCAACCTCTTCATCGCCTCGCTAGCCATTGCTGACCTCATCATGGGTTTGGTTGTGGTCCCCTTTGGCTGTAGCCACATCCTGCAGGGAGCCTGGCTGTTTGGAAACTTCATGTGTGAATTCTGGACAGCAACTGATGTGCTCTGTGTGACGGCCAGCATAGAAACCCTTTGTGTGATTGCTCTGGACCGCTACCTCGCCATCACCTCCCCACTCCGATACCCAACGCTACTCACCAGGTATGAACAAGATATTTTGGTCTGGCTTTGTGGGGGTTGAAGTACAATACTTATTTAGGTTTAGAAACTTTAAATCAAAAGTGATTCTTACAGAACACTTCCATCCTATTACTCAGCATGGTTATATCCTCTATCCTGCATATTTGTTACTCTAAAATATTGGTCCCAAATTTGTATCAATTTATTATTGTTTTTTAAGCATTCTGGAAAGGACCTGTACAAGCAGAAGTCTATACAACTTAAAGGAGAACTGCATTGATGTTAAGCATAAATATATATACAGAAAGTCTTTGTGGCTTCAGAGGGACCACTCCAAATCTGCTAAATTGGCTGGAGGCTACATTACTACTACTAGCATAGCACCCAAATCTTAAGTCAACTGTTGTCTACCATGTTTTATTGTGGGTAAAGTAGTCACCAAGTTTTGTCAAGAAAGAAGAATGTGTGGAAGAAAAAAAGATGATATCTCTGATTCTTCTGCATTGATTTGGACTTTTTTTAACTATCCATCATGAATGTGACAATGTTATAAAAGTGCAACACCAAATCAGTGCAGTAGACTACTATAATTCAGTTCAAGACGTGTTCAAGGCAAAAAAGGTTTGCTATTTACCAAATGGTGCCTTTCAGGTTGCTCTATGTTTTAGAGCACATTTATTACACTTTTGGACAGCCTACATAATATACAATTAGCACAATATCTCTCAACTATCTGTGTCTTCACTCAACTGTTTACAATATTCTTCACCCATGCGCACTCTCTTGTCTCCTGCTGCTCACCAGGGGTCGGGCCTTTGCAGTGGTCCTTGGGGTTTGGGCAGTGGCCTCCCTCATCTCCTTCTTGCCCATCCATCTGAAGGTGTGGGTGTCACGTGATAAGGAAGCTGTCCGGTGCTTGGAAGACGAATACTGCTGTGATTTCAACACCAATATAGAGTATGCTGTGTCTTCCTCAATTGTGTCGTTCTACCTGCCGCTGGTGGTAATGATTTTCCTGTACACCCGGGTCTTCCAGGAGGCTCAGAAACAGCTGGAGAAGATCAGAGGGAGGGAGAGGCACCTTTATAACTTGCATTACTCTGCACAGCTGACTTATGATGATAGTCCTGCAATGAACAGACTCAGGGCAGGAATTGAGGTAGAAGAACAAGCAGGAGAGCACAGTCTAAATATGCAGAAAATAGACGGTATAGACACTGGTAAGGAGGGAAAGTTAGGAGAGAGCAGAGCAAAGACAAAAAAGGGGGAAGGAAAACATTCTGCCACAAAGCGTCTTAAGTTCTGTCTTAAGGAGCACAAGGCTGTGAAAACTTTAGGGATCATCATGGGAACCTTCACATTGTGTTGGCTACCCTTCTTCATCCTCAACATCCTCATGACCTTTCTCAACTTGGGTGACATTAAGCTGCTCTTTAGACTCCTTAACTGGCTAGGATACTCCAACTCAGCCTTCAACCCGCTCATCTACTGCCGCAGCCCTGACTTCAGGCACGCCTTTCAGGAGATACTCTGTCTGAGGGGCAAAGGGTGGAGCTGGAGAGGAAGGAGAGGATGGGGATGGTGCAGGGAGAGAGACTGTTACTCCAAGCCCCCAGGTAGGACAAATGGGAACTCAGACCTGAATGGTGTTAGGAGGCTGGACAGTCAGCAGAGGTTAGGGTGGAAGGGCAGTTTGGAGAGCTCTATTCATGACAGCTCACTAACTCTGGCTCCTCCAGCCGCCTGCTGTGAGCAGGTTTTAGAAGTAGCTCCTGGTTCCCAGTCCAACTGGCAGGATAACAGTTCTGCTAATGGGAAATCTAAGGAAAATCTGGCTTCTATAGCTTGACCAATTAGGATAGTAGACTTTACATTGTGTGTGCATAGCCATGCAGTAGAGATCAGTTTGATGAAGCTCTGAATGTTTGTTTTTGGTTGAGAATGACTCAATGTTTTGGGGTTTGTAGCTTGTAGTATTAATATTGCATTAGGTGTGTTTCAGTCAATGTTACTGAGGTTTTGCTGCTGCAGTTTTTCTAATAACGATTCAGTGATGTAAATCTTTGGCAGCTACACAATTAAACCATGCACAGCAAGTACGTGAAAAGCTTTTAATAACTAATGGCTGAATAATATTAATAAATATCATGCATGCTCATGCATTCCAAAACGCTACTTTCTTAAAAGCAGTCTGATGGGAGAATGAAAAAATAGTGTAGAAAAGTGTAGAAAAATCAGCAATTGGCTGGAAGGTTGCTGGTTCAAATTCCTTCACACTGTCTGGCTTCGAAGAGGCAAATCATGCCGCCCGTCTATTTACAGCTGTAGTTAAAGGGCCATGACGTAAATATATTGTAACACCAACTGCCAAATCACCAATGGTAGTACATTGGGGCTGTGGGACATTGCAAAATTGAGGCACACCCTACTGCCTTTTTTGTTGAAGCCTGTCACCATATCCTTACCTTTTATTTTAATATATATACATATCAAATGAACAGACGGAGGGCACTTGCTCTAGCTCTGAATGAGGGCAAGAGGCTGTTCCCAAATAGTATGCTTTAAACCAGTGAGAACAGAAGATAAACAAATACAGAAACCGCTCAATTGAAATAACCAAAAACTGTTGAAACTTTGGCAGAAAATAATGTGTTCTTGTGGAGCCAATCACTCATATATAGAAGCTGATGGGAATAATAGTTTTCAGGCTCCCACATTATTGAAGCCTCTGAACACAGTGGTTCCATACAGTTATTATTTTATGTATAAACCCACAAAGTAGGAAGCACAAACAGGAATTTAGCACCTCATTTGCAGTGCAAATAACGTTATGCAAAACCGCACATCAAGAAAAAACCTTTATGAAGCAGAGATGTGCATTTTGTTTGCCCTGTGGCTAAAAGTCTTATCTGAAACAGCGGGTCTCATAATAATAATACAAATAATAATAAAGAAAAAAAGAATCAGACCGCCTGTTTTTCATTCCGTTATGATAAACCTTATAGCTGGTCCAAAGTAATTTACTGGTGTATATTTGTGTAGTTGATAAACATCTGAGACCCAAACTTGTGACTATCATAACTGCTCTTTCTCTCCCTGTGTTCGCTTTCTTTCATCACGTATTTGCTGGAACTGTTTTCCCTCCCTCTCGCTCCAAACATCACCATCTACCCACTCGTTCCTTTTATCCTGTCTGCTTTTGCTCTGTTATAATAAAAACATTGCAATCTGTCAGACAAAGCTGGGGAGATAATTTTCATGCAGTAGGATCTGTTTCCATGAAATTGTCCGTTACGCGTACTGTAAAAACATAGCAATATTATTATACATATCTTGAATGCTCAGAAACTTGATTAAAGGGAAAGTGTGTTTGGATTAATTCTCATATCATTATTTTCCAAATTCATAGTGATAATGATAAAGGAGCCCACATACAGTTTATCTACAAAGACAACCTAGTATCAGATTACTCCAAGTGGACAAATATATAAAAAAAATATGAAAATAATCTCCCCAGCCCTGCTTTTATATGTACAGATAATTATTTAATTTGTGTTAATAACAAAAAGGTATTAAGCGTAAATAAGTGGCAACTGTTTACTGTAAATATGATCTGCACATGTGTGTGTGTTTGTCAGTCTGTATGTATGTGTTGTGTTCTTGTGATTATTTGTTCATTTTAAAGCTTGAAACATGCCATTGGATATTTGAATTTACTGTAATGTGTATGAGACTTGGACTAACTAAAAGTTGGAAAATACTGTAGTTTTGTTTTTTATTTCAAATTCAGTAACTTATCTGGTTCTCTAAAAAGAACTAATTATTTAATGTGTGTTTTGTATCATGTTTGTTTAGTTTACGCAGCACTGAAACACAAGTCTACAATCAGAAAGAGATTGATCATGTTATGTTATATATGTGTGTCTGTCTTGGGATACTGAGACAAATCTGAAAGTAAAAGCCAATTTTCAGAAGTGTAGCTTTACATCAGAGGAGCAGATTCTGTTTTCTACCTCCATCAGACTCACATGAATGTCATCTCACTTCTGTAAATATTTGTTCATGGGCTGTTGTATATTTTTGTGAGTAAAAGAATGAAGTTTGAAATTGTATTATTTGAATATGTTGCTTCTCTCTCTCTCTGTGTGTGTGTGTGTGTGTGTGTGTGTGTGTGTGATCAAAAGAGACAGGCTGTCAGAAAAAGAGATAAGAAAAAGAGGAAGATATGCTTAATAATAGCAGACAAATAAGGTTAAAATAAGCTTAATATTATCTTGTGATACTCGTCACAGCTTGCTTTCTAACAAACAACCTGGGGGAATTTAGGGGTTATTTGTAGAAGCATTTAGGTGCCTAAAATTATACTCTTTACTGGTTAATAACCAGTAAATCCAAGTGTTTTTGATACCACTATAGAAGTCCTTCTTGTGGAAGAAAGCCTGCAGACACAGTTTATTAGAATGGAGCTAATCTAATATTTCCTTTATAGAGTTTATAGAGTTTATTGATGGTGAGCTTGTGTTGCTCCCTGAACTGAAGCCGGTCCAACAGTGCCAGCTACAGCATTGCAAAGTTTTCATCTTAGCACTGGCACTGACTGCCAATCCATAATGGAAATAGTCATTTGTAGCCAGTTGGGCTAAAAAAATTAGCCTGACAAATGAACTTCGTGCTGTTGACCAAGCAACGTATTAATCAAAAAAAATCTAATTACAAAGACAGCTGTAGTTTCTCATAAGGATATATAAGAAATGCCCATAACTCTGGCAATATTGCCAAACTTTGTCTCAAAAGGCTCTTTGTCGACAAATAAAATGAGATCAGGAAATGTGATTCTCCTCGCACTCCAACTTTAACCTTTTTAACTAAGCCGATGGGACAGAGGCTTTTTGTGCTTATTCAGTCATCCAAGTTAGTCACGAAGACTCGGCTTGCCTGTTTGCATTAAAGTTAAAGTGTACGTGTGTGTGTGTGTGTGTGTGTGTATGTGCGTGTGTGTATGTGAGGCATGACGTACAGTGACAGGTGCAAGTGGTCATAGCAGCTACAGTATCAGCTGCTGCAGAGGAAATACAATCAGCTATACTGCCTCAATACGCACACACAGCTTTACAGTTCAACATGAAAACACACTGTATACGTGTGTGTGTGTGTGTGTGTGTCTGTGTATGTTCGTGCGTGCGTGTGTGTGTTTGACCTGTTTCCATGGAACAAGTTTCCAATTTAGGTATGTTAAGGTTAATGTACTTAACATGCATGACTTGTGTTGTTTGTCCTGTCTAGCTGTATCTATTAATGTCTTGGTTACTGTATTTCTGTTTTGTTTTGTTTTTTGT